AAAGGATTATGTTTCAAATGCAATGAGAAGTATACAAGGGGCCATATCTATAAAAAGAAGCAATTATATGCTCTGGAGGTTGAACAAGAAGATCAGGAACAGGTGGAAGATGAGGGTGAAGATGTGGATGAAGATCAGATTCCAGAAGAGGAATTACAAATTTCTATTAATGCCCTGTCTGGCTCTATTTCCTATAGAACTATGAGGGTAAAAGGCAATGTCAAGAAAAAGCTAGTCATGATGTTAATAAACTCGGGAAGTACTCATAATTTCCTACGTCCAGAAGTAATCAAGAGAGTTGGGATAATGGCCTCAGAGACAGACCCATTACCAGTTTTAGTTGCTGATGGAACCAAACTAATGAGCACAGCAATATGTAAAGGATTTCGGTGGGAAATGCAAGGTACCGAATTTCAAGCTGATATGAGGATTTTGCAGCTCAAGGGCTGTGACATGGTTTTGGGGATTCAGTGGTTGGCAACATTGGGTCCAGTGAAATGGGATTTCAAGAATCTTAGCATGGAGTTTCAGTTGAATAACAGAAGGCATGTGCTAAGGGGAGGAAAGAAATGAGAATTGACAGTCATTGGGGCTAATAAGATGAAAAAAATAATTCAGAAACAAGCACATGGAGTTGTAGCTCAGGTGTACTCCCTTCAAGCTGAATGTAATGAACTAGAAGATACATTGTCACCAGACTTGGAAGCATTATTGGCTGATTATGAAGATATTTTTCAAGAACCTAAGACCCTTCCTCCAACCAGAACTCACGATCATTGCATACCATTGAAACCAGGGATAGAACCTACCAATATCAGGCCCTATAGGTATCCCTATTTCCAAAAGACTGAGATTGAAAAATAGGTTAGCGAGATGTTAATTTTAGGAGTTATTAGAACCAGTGTTAGTCCTTATTCTTCACCTTTGCTATTAGTTAAGAAGAAGGATGGGAGTTGGAGAATGTGTATTGATTATCGAGCCCTAAATAAAGCTACTGTGAAGGATAAATTTCATATTCCTGCTATAGATGAACTCCTTGATGAATTGTGCGGTGCTAAGTATTTCTCTAAGCTGGATTTGAGATCTGGTTATCACCAGATCAAGGTAACTCCTACAGACATTTACAAAACTGCATGGACATTATGAGTTCATGGTAATGCCATTTGGGTTAACAAATGCCCCATCTACTTTTCAAAGCTTGATGAATGAAGTTTTTAAGCCTCACTTAAGGAAATTCATCTTAGTATTTTTTGATGACATTTTAGTATACAGTAGTACATGGACCAATCATTTGCATCATTTGCAAACTACTTTGCAGTTGCTACTAGTTCACCAACTGTTTGCCAAAAGGTCCAAGTGTGTGTTTGGTAAAGAGGAAGTAGAATACTTAGGGCATTTGGTTTCAGGGGAAGGGGTTTCAAACCAACCAAAATTACAGCTATGACTAGTTGGCCTACACCTGCTACTTTAAAGGAACTAAGAGGATTTCTTGGCCTTACAGGATACTATAGACGGTTTGTTTAGGGCTATAGAAAAATTTGTTCTCCACTCAATAAATTACTCAAAAAGGATTCCTTCCAATGGAACTCAGAAGCTGCAATAGCACTTGAACAACTTAAGGTAGTAATGACCACAATACCAGTTCTGGCTTTGCCTAATTATACTAAAGAATTTGTGGTGGAATCAGATGCATCGAGAAAAGGCTTAGAGGCTGTGCTAATGCAAGAGGGACATCCGATAGCTTTTTGGAGTAAAGGCTTATCTGCACGGGATCAACTTTTATCTACCTATGAAAAGGAATTAATGGCAGTGGTCTTGGCTGTACTCAAATGGAGGCATTACCTTTTGGGTAGGAAATTCCTTATCAGAATAGATCACCAAAGCTTAAAATACCTATTGGAGCAAAGGGTGGGCACCCCATTCCAACAGAAGTAGATTACTAAATTGTTGGGCTATGATTATGAGATCGTTTACAGATGTGGAAAGGAGAATAGGGCAGCAGATGCTTTGTCTAGGAGGGAGGATACTACAGATAACCCTCCTACTTTGCATGCTATCACTTTTGTGTCTACTAGTTGGTTAGCTGAAATTAAGCAAAGTTGGGTATCTGATCCAATGGTGCAACAGGTCATTTTGGATTTGATTCTTGATCATACTTCCCACATGGGTTATCGTTGGGAGCAAGGGATTCTAACCTATAAAAGCAAATTGGTGGTAGGGAACATGCCTCAGCTCAAGATCCAGATTATGGAGGAATTTCATTGCTCTACAATAGGTGGGCATTCAGGGATTGATAAAACCACTAAGAGAATTCAGAGAACTTTGTATTGGAAAGGGTTAAAGAAAGATGTTTCAAAGTTGGTTTCCAAATGTGACATTTGTCAAAGGTTTAAGAGTGAAAATGTGAAATCCCCTGGATTGTTACAGCCTCTTGCTATTCCCAATCGAGTTTGGTCTGATATCTCTATGGATTTTATTGAGGGCCTTTCCAAATCACATAGCAGATCTGTTATATTTGTGGTCATCGATAGGTTAACTAAGTATGGCCATTTCATGGCACTTTCACATCTATACACAGCCAAAGATGTTGCTCAAGTATTCCTGGATCAAGTTTACAAATTACATGGACTGCCCTCATCTATCGTGTCCGACAGAGATGCAGTCTTCACTAGCAATTTCTGGCATGTGCTTTTTACTTTGCAAGGTTGCAAATTATGTTTAAGTTCTGCTTATCATCCACAAACTGATGGCCAGACAGAGATCTTAAACAAGTGCTTGGAGAACTATTTACGATGCATGATAGGTGATTGTCCTAGGAACTAGGTTCAATGGCTTTCTTTAGCTGAATGGTGGTACAACACTTCCTACCATTCAGTCATCAAAACCACTCCATATTACGCTGTTTATGGCCAAGATCCACCAGACCACACCTTCATTGCTTCCAACCCCTTTGCTATGGCTGAGGTGGATAATTGGGTACAGGAAAGAGCTTTAATTCTCAGAATGTTAAAGGACAATCTGCATCAAGCTCAACACAGGATGAAGCATTATGCTGATATGCATAGATCCGACCGTGAATTTGAACCACATGATTGGGTTTACTTGCGGCTGCAACCTTATAGGCAGTCTACTTTGGCATTACACAGGAATATGAAGCTTGCTCCTAGATTTAATGGTCCATTTCAGGTTGTGGCAAGAATTGGAAAGGTTGCTTATCAGCTCCAGCTACCTGCTTCTGCCCATATCCATCCCGTGTTTCATGTTTCTTTGTTAAAGAAAAGGTTGGGTCAGCACATAGTCGCACAACCTACATTGCCACCAGTCGCACCTAATGGAACTTTCCAAATGGAACTTGTGGCAATGTTGGACAGACGTATGGTTAAGAGGAACAACAAGGCAGTGGCTCAACTCCTCATTCAGTGGTCTCACTTATTTCCAGAGGATGCTACTTGGGTGGACTACCAGGACATCATCACCAAATATCCCCATTTCCAGCCTTGAGGTCAAGACTATTTTTAAGGGGTGGGAAATGTTATGATTTAGGAAGTTTTGGATTCAGTTTGCTCAGTTGGCGCTAAAATTCAGGAATTTAGTTTGAGAGGGAGAATTAGTTTGAGAGATTGTTTGATTGTTGGGGGTTAGTTAGTGGGTTAAGAGGTTTGTTAGTTAGTATTGGATGTATATAGCTACGGTTGAGAGGGGAAAAAGGGGGGGATTTTTTGACGGTAATCAAGTTGTATGAGAAAATGAATGGACTCCAAACTTAGTTTTCCATTTTCTCTCTTCTTTTTCTTCAATTACTGCTTTCTTCTTTCATAGTCATATCACTGAGCTTCGTCACCATCGACGCCAGTTTTGTAGGACTTCTTGCGGACCTCTGTCCGAGAATTGGGTCACAGAGACATTGCTGAGTTGTCTCTCTCTCTCTCTCTCTCTCTCTCTCTCTCTCTCTCTCTATGTAGAGGTGTTCAACGAAATGTCTGAGAGCAAAAAGACATGATGAATTGGATTTGAAGAATAAAATAGAATAGAATAAAATGATGTATATGGGTAGAATACAAAAGGCTAGGTGGGTCTCTTTCTCTCCGGTGCGAGGTTAACTTGCTCCACCACCACCATGCCATTGCCGTCACCGCCACTATCCCAATATAAAAATTAAAATATATAATTTCAAAATAATAAATTTTAAATTTAATTTAATACATATCAAATAATTTATTTTTAGTTAGCATTTAAATTTTTATCAAATAGTTTTTTAATTTAAAAAATTCAATATTTAATCTTCGATCTTCAGTTTTTAATTTTATCAAATACAACACACACATTTGACTTAATGGCCTAAGGTCTCACTATTGGAATTCGGCAACTTGAAACCAAAAAAAGAAAAAAAGAAAAATTCCTAATCAAAACTTAATATAAAATTTATTAAAATGCATAAAAACCAAAAAATAGAAAAAGAAAAATGAAATTGAGTGTTAACATTTTCTTTTTCCTTCTTTATTTAAGAAAGGCATTATCTCAATCCACTAGGTCTCTTCCATGTTTATCTAGAGGCCTAAAAACATTCATTGTCCAAAGGTCTTATACTAAAATTTGATAAAAATCTCCCAAATAAAAATAGAACTATTCAAATGGTTATAAATTCTAAGCATTATAGGGAGTATTACCATATAAGTAGTTGCTAGAATATTAAATAATTTATTATCTCATGTTTTAGATGGTAAAGGCCTTCGATGATAAATTTTGCAAGTGTATAAATTTTGTCTATGTCGTATTGCTCTAATTTAATTTAAAATTATTAGAGATATGTAATTATGTACAAACTAAATTATCAACTATGAGGAGAAGTTGATAATTTGATTTGTAGTTTATTCAAAAATACAATGTATCATGAATTTTCATCTTGAAATTTTCTTCGAAACTGAAATATATGATGTAAATTTAAAATTAGTTGGATATGAATCATACCAACACAATGAATATATATAGTCCATTGATTTTTACTAGTTTATTAGTCAAGGACCCAATTTAATTTACTTTTTTGAAAAAAAAAAAAAAAACATTGCCTCATAATGTAAGTATATATGTATGTATATATGTTAAATGTGGTAAAATAGAGAAGTACCTTAGGTGGCTTTGAAATGATATGGTTTTGCACAAACTGATTCAAGTCCATCCCCTGTAGCGGTATCACGGATCTATCCAATCTAATTTCCTTTAGTTTTGGTGTGCTGCCGGAAGTAGTGGCAGCGAAAGTCTTCATTTTGGGGCACTCATCCAATACGAGTTGTTCCAAGGATGGCCATTCAAAAGGAAAGTCGTCTCCTCCTGCGCAGAAACCACTTAGGTTTGGAAGATCTTCAAGGCTGAGGTTTCTGAGACTTTTGAACACCATCTTGTAGTCCACTCTCTCTTCTTTTTCTTGTTGCCCTTCGTTTTGCTTCGCAGCAACAATTTCCTTTATTTCTTCACAGTCACTTACGCAAAGCTGTTTAAGTTGATGAAGAGCCTGAGCTATGGAAAGTTGGAAGACATATTTCAGTTTGCCACATGATTCGACACGCATATATCTTAGGTTGCAGAGTTGCACATGTTGACGACTGGAGCAGTTCAATATATGTTTCAATCTAGGCAAGTTCCATAGACTTAAAACGCTCAAACTAGAAAGCAGCTTCATGCCTTCTCCTTCAGAACCAAAATCAAATACTTGTTCCAATTTCTCGCATTTGAATACTACAAGCATCTCCAAATGTTGTTGTAGCCTTTGAAGCAAATTGAATGGAAGAAGAACAGTTGATAGTGAAGGACATTTGTCAACTACCAGACTTCTAAGCTTTGGGAACCACTCCCAGCTGGAAGTAGTAAGTGCACTTGCTGCACATATCCCTTTGAAACTATCCAAATCCTCGAGTTCCAATTCTTCCAGGTTGAAGAGCAATTGCAGATCACGTGGTTGTGCCTGTGATGAAATCCCCCATTCCTCTGTGTCGATCAAGTATTCCAATTGAGAACAACTTTCAATCCTCAGACGTGTAGCTCTCTTCAACACCATCTTTAGCCATTTACTCCAATTAACCATGGATCCAACCAAATTTCCAACTTTCAAATAATTTGGGGAAATATATTCAACTCTAACCTGATATCTCGATTTTCCAATAACAATAATAAAACTTTCCAGCTCAGGAAAAACAAAGTCCTTGGGTATATACACAATGTCAGGTATGGAAATGGTTAGCATTTTTAGGCGAGGCAAAGATCTTAGAGCAGCAACTACTTCCACTGCAGGGTATCCGATACTCGAAGATGTGATGCCAAACAAGTACAACTCCTCCAAATGGAATAAAGGCAATACCATTGCGGCCAGAATCGGAAATTCATGATGGCTTTCAGTCATGTCCAACAACCTTAGATTAGTTAACTCCCTTATAGCATTTGGTGCCTCAGAAAAGAAGGCATGCCTGAGGCTAAGGACTTCAAGCGTCTTTAATTGTCCAAGAAATTTAGTGTCCCCAAACTTAATTCCATCAAGAACTAATGTTCGAAGACACGTTTGGTTATTGAAAGCATCAGGACTACGAATTGGATTGTCAAAATCGTAGTCAAGTTGTTGGCTCAAATCTAAAACATTAAGTGCATTCATCCTTGAAAAGAATTCATGTGAACATGACCATTCATTTTTATTGTATTGTAATAGTAATATTTGGAGCTTTGGACATTCCAAGACCTCAGGAAGGTTACTGATTTGATTTCTGATTAACGATATGCCAATGTATTGATCCAAACTATCCATATTTGGCCAATCTTTCAAATTGCGACCAGCTCTTACAAAATACTTTTTGGATCCAATAAATATGGCAACATCACGTACAACATCATGCATTTTGATGCAACCTTGTTTATAATTAGCTAATAATAAACAGGAAGCTATGAGATTGTTGATCACTAACTTTGCTCTGCTCCTGGTTTCTTGCACTGTATCAACATTTTTGAATAATTTCAACCCCATCCCATATCGTACCAAGTCTTCTACTACGATGTCATGATCCTCAGGAAACAGAGAACAAAGCAAGAAGCAATCCTTGGCTTCCTCATCTTGCAGGTAATCATAGCTCAACCTAAGACTTTTGTACACTTGTTGATCAACATCTTCAATGTTTGTTGGCACTGATTTTTTTAATTCTTGGGCTGCATTTTTCCATTCTTCAAGGTTAGATTTACCTTTCATTGCCTTTGCAACCGTAACTACTGCTATGGGAAGCCCTCCACATTCTTTACAAACTTCTCTGGCCACATCATTCAACGCAGAAGAGGCAACAACGTCGCCAATGTTCTTTCTGAATAAGCCCCATGAATCTTGTTCAGATAAAACATCAAGCCAGACTATCTTTGTTTTCTCCCATTCATTTCCCATGGTTCTACACACTTGCTTACGCCGTGTTGTGATTATGATTTTGCAACCCGGGTGATCATTGCCAAATGGAATGCCCACGTTTGCCAAATTAAGTTTGGCCCAAACATCATCCAATATAACAAGGATCTTCTTCACATCATTGAGTCTTGCACACAACATGCTTGCTCTTTCAATTTCATTTTCTTTTTCATTTAATTCGGTGAAACCCAACCAGCTAGCTATTTGACCTTGAATTTTTTTAATGTCTGGGTTCTGAGACACTACAGCCATCACAGCATCGTCAAAAAACTTATCAGATTTAGCTTTTTTACCAATTTCTGTTACCAAAGTTGTCTTTCCAACGCCCCCAATACCATGTATTCCAATGAAGTTGATATTGTCATCACTTAATGCCTCCATTACATTCGTCATTGCCAAATCTCTAGAAGCATAAGGCACGAGCTGTTCAGAGGGTATGGACTCTATCCCCAAGGGAGGTGCAGGTTTGGATATGTTGTTATTGAATGTGCCTTCTTTTCCCAGCTCTTTAGCCTCCTCTGTTTTATTTTTGGCTGCCTTACCTAGCCGGCGTCGTGTGACCAAATCAGGAAACCACCCATTCAAACATTTCTGGTTCACATTGGTACCACCTTCTAGAAACTCTTTAGCCTCAAGAATGAACCCATTAACTTTGTCAATCCAATTCTTGACATTTTCTAGAATTTCTTCTCTATTCCTTTTTGCTACATCGATGGAGTCGAGCACATCTTTTCTCTGAGCCTCCAAATTTTGAACTTGCTTTCGTAGCTCTTCACTGTATTTCACTCGATAGAAGACATAATCGAATTGACGCCCAACTGGCTCCACCGATAATTCAACAACTTTTCTTCCAATGGAAGTCAGAGCATCACAGACAGCCATAGCCATGTCTGATAACAAACAAAGCAATACTTCAAATAAATAATATTTTACTATTGGCAGTAATAACTATTTACATGCTTGCTAATAAAATAAGATGTTGCAAGCCAGTCCAATAGAATGCACTTTATCTATCAAAAAAGTCCTACTCTAATTTTCTCTATAAAAATATTTATGAAAAAATACAATTTAACTATTTATACTTCTCACATCATATTTCGATACGAACTAACTCAAATAAATTAAAATTAAATCAAAACTCACAAATAAAAATTCAAATAATTTTGGGTATGATTCATTGTAATGTTAGTTGTGATTCTTTTTTTTGGTTATGATAGAAAATGTCTTTGTTATTCCTCAAGTGGTATTTGGTTATGACCTATGAAGCATGGGTGCGTGTATAAATACGGGTACAGGTATGCTGATATGGCAAATTTTTTAAAAAGTAAGATACGGTTACGGCTAGGGCTAGGGTATTTCAATTTTTTTTAATTTCTTTCTTTAATTTATAGCTAAACATCCAACATATAAATCAAAGTTTCAATATCAAAACTAAAAAGAGAACAGTTTATCTAAAACTGTATATAATTCTTTATTTATTTTTTTTGATTGTCTAAAACATGATACAAAAGAGAGCAAAACCATGACTCATGGTCAAGGGTGTTGGAAATAAAGGTTGCAACAAATTCTATCAGCTGCCAAAAAAAAAAAAAAAAATTCACCTTGCCGTACCCACGACGTACCCAAATGTATTTACCGTACCGACATGTATCCAGCGTACTCGGTATGCACACCACCGCACCAGTACGCGTACCCGCACCTGGTAAGTACCCAGTACTCGTACGACACCATTTTTTGAGTATCCGTGCTTCATAAGTTATGACTTATCGAGTTTTTTTAGTTATGACTACACAAATATCATAACTTGTATATGGTACACAGCCAAGAAAAATGTGTATTGTAAAATGACCCTACTTTTTATAATAAATTCATAAGTAGATACATATTGATATACGCAAACATAATTCGAATAAAATTTATAAAGTATGATTTTCAAAATATATACTTATAGTTTATAACGTGTATTGTATGGGTTAACTGCAAGTAACATATCATAAACTTTATGGGTGGGACAATTTTGACCCATCTTTGTTAGTTAAGAGAAAAGAATAATCTACTTGATATGTTTTGAAATTCTTTATTTGTTAAGAGTATCACATAAACAATATCAAAAAGAATCCCTAATACTACCTAATAAATTTTCAATATATATACATTAATGTATGTCCATACTTAAAGGTACGGTGTAAATAATAATGAGATCAAAATATAATTAAATATAAAATTGTTGGATTAAAATATAATTTATTTAATTTGTTACTAAAAGTTTAAAGTCAAGATATGAATAGAAATCTAATTAGTTTTTCAATAAAATAATTCATATAAATATAAAATAGCCCATATAAATATAGATGCAATTTTAGATTTATACAATAATAAATATTTATATAATAAATCTTTGAAAAAAAATACCAAAAGAAAGAGTGAGAGAGAGAGAGAGAGTGTGGAGAGACTCTACTCCCACCACATCATTCTTTTTTGGGCAAATTACATATACACCCTCGAGCTTTGGCTAAATTACAGATACCCCCTGAGGTTTCGAAAATTACATCTCGCCCCCTGAGGTTTGTATTTTCATAACAATTTGCCCTCTGAGGTTTATATTTCATAACAAATAACCCCCTAATTTCTTATGCAAATATAGTATTCAGGGGGGAATTCGTAATTTTTCAAACCTCAGGGGGCATCTGTAATTTGGCCAAACCTCGAGGGGTGTATATGTAATTTGCCCTTCTTTTTTTAAAAGAAAGAGTGGAGACAAAAGATAATTTTGAAATGGAAAATAATATGAATCTCAAATATTTTATTAAATTTTTTATATGGATGTGAGATTCAAACAAACTCACATATATATATATATCACATATCCATATGAGATGTTTGATAAAAAAATTTAATAAATTATTTGAGATTCCTAACCTATGTCTTTTGAAATCTATCTATCTATCTATTTATCTATATATTATATAAGGAAAAATGGTGTTTTTAGTGAGGAGCCTTGTGAGAGTTTCAATATCTCATACTAATTTTCTTGATTTTCTTAATTTTAAACAATTAAGAAAATCTCCATTGGTTAGCTTTTATTTGATAATCTCATATCGGAAAAAAAAGAAAAAAAAAAAGAGTTATTTTACTCATATAAAGTGAATCTTATACTCTCATCTCATTTAATATATTATAATGTTGTGCATGTTTCAATTCAATATAGTTTAAATTTTAAAAGTCTTAATTAATTAATTATGACATAGCCAATTAAGCTAAATCATTTTTGATTTGATTGATTTGTTGGTTTAACCGTGATTTTAGTAGTTTTATCAAAATATATTAATTAGATTTGTTTGATTCGAAATAAACTAAAGATTGATCTGATTAAAAATTGAAAGACTGAGATTGCTTGATTAAAAATAAACTTTCCGTTCAAATAATTGTTAACTTTTATTTTATAATCTCACATCAAAAAAAGAAAAAAAAAATGAGTTGTTTCACTTATATAAAGTAAATTTTAGTAGTGTAGTATTGTGTATATTTCAATTCAACACAATTTAAATTTTAAAATTAAAATAACATTTAAAAGTTTTAATTAATTAATTTTATATAAGTTGGTTGGTTATTTGACCTAACCAATTAAGCTGAACCATTTTGGGTTTGACTAATTCGCTGGTTTAATCGCAATTTCTTATATTGATTTTATTAATTTTAAACAATTAAAAAAATTTCATTGGCTAACTCCCATTTAACCATACAAAAATAAAACTCTAATTATTTTATATTGAATTTTCTTAATTTTAAACAATTAAGAAAATTCTCGTTGGCTAACTTCTATTCATCTTTTATTTTACAATCTCACATCGAAAAAAGAAAGAAAAAATGAATTGTTTCATTTATATAAAGTAAATCTTATACTCTCATTTATATAAAGACCTATTTTGGGAAGATGATTATAATTAGTTTTTTGGTGAAAAGCTGCTTACAAGCAGCTTTTTTGTGAGAGAGGAAGTGGGTTAAAATAGGCCAAACAAAAGGAGATTTTTAGTGAGAAGCCATATGATCAATATCTCATACTTATTTATTTGATTTTCTTAATTTTAAACAATTAAGAAAATTCCCATTGACTAGCTTTCATTTAACTTTTATTTCACAATTTCACACAGGATGTTTTGATTTTAAAAATAATTTTTTATGAGATTTTGAAACTCTCATAATATTTAATTTTAAAATAATTACAATCTCACATCGAGAAAAGAAATAAAAAGTGATTTGTTTCACTTATATAAAGTGTTAGAATTCCACATCGGAAAAAGAAAGAAAAAGTGATTTGTTTTACTTACATAAAGTGTTAGAATCTCACATCGAAAAAAGAAAGAAAAAGCGATGTGTTTCACTTATATAAAGTGAATCTTATAAAGAGATTTTAAGGGAGAAACCTTATAAAAGTTCAAAACCCTCATTCTAAAATTATTAAATTTTTTTAATTTTAAACAATTAAGAAACTTTCATTGGTTAGCTTCCATTTACTTTTTATTTTATAATCTCAAATCAGGAAAAAAAAGAAAAAGTGAATTATTTCATTTACATAAAATGAATCTTATGCTCCAATTTATATAAATTATTAAATTTTCTTAATTTTAAATAATTAAAAAAATCTCTATTGGTTAGCTTCCATTTAACTTTTAGTTTACAATCCCACATCGAAAAAAGAAAAAAAAAAAGTGAATTAATTCATTTATATAAAGTGAATCTTATACTCCCATTTATATAAGCAAAAGAAGATTTTTATTGGGAAACCCTATAATCAATACCATTTTTTTTTTATAATTTTCTTAATTTTAAACAATTAAGAAAATCTCCATTGATTAGGTTTCATTTAACTTTTATATTTTACAATCTCACATAGACGTTTTGATTTTAAAAATAATTTTGTATGAGATTTTGAAACCCTCATAATATTTAACTTTAAAATAATTACAATTTCACATCAAAAAAATAAAGAAAAAGTGAGTTGTTTCACTTATATAAAATAAATATTATATTCTCATTTAATATTATAATATTGTACATATTTCAGTTCAAATTTAAATTTTAAAATAAAATTTAAAGGTTTTAATTGATTAATTTTGTTGTAAATTGGTTGGTCTTTAGGCTAAATCGTTTTCAATTTTACTGATTCACTGATTTAACTATGGTTTTAACTGTTTTATCAAAATATATTGCTTAGATTTGTTTGATTTAAAATAAACTAAGATTGACCTTATTAAAAATTGAACGATTGAGATTGTTTGATTAGAAATGAACTTTCCATCCAAATAACGGTTAACTTTTATTTTACAATCTCACATTAGAAAAATGAGAAAAAAATGAGTTGTTTCACCATATAAACCATATGCTCCTATTTAATATTGTAGTGTTGTGTATATTTCAGTTTAAGACAGTTTAAATGTTAAATTAAAATAAAATTTAAAAAATTTAATTAATTAATTTTTGTATAAGTTGGTAAGCAAAATGAGATTTTTAGTGAAAAACCTTATGATCAATATCTCATACTAATTTTTTTGATTTTTTTAATTTTAAACAATTAAGAAAATCCTGATTGGCTAACTTCATTTAACTTTTATTTTACAATTTCACATAGAGGTTTTTATTTTAAAAATAATTTTGTATGAAATTTTGAAACTCTCATAATATCTTTCTTTAAAATTATTCTTTTATAAAATATATAGATATATCGATAATCTCAATGTCACTCTTATTACTCCTTAATACAAAAATTATGAGATAATTATGATAATTTTAAATTTATATTGTGTCAATTTTAAATTTAAATTAATAGATTGTTTTCCATATTTAGTGACAGTTTAAATTTTAATAAAATAAAATTTTAAAGTTTTAATTAATTAATTTTTGTGTAAGCTGGTTGGTATTTTGACCTAATTGATTAAGCTAAACTGTTTTTGGTTTGAATGATTTGCTAGTTTAACCGTAATTTTAGCGGTTTTACATGTTACGATGATTCTTTCTTACTCATTAAGTTTGTAAAATTTCTTTAATTATTTCACTTTCAAAAACTAATATGATAATTTTTTAAAATTCATATATATATTTTTTTCTAAAATAGTGAAGTATTAGAATTATGTTATTTTTTTTTATAACAAAGCATAATTTTAATTATTAAGTGTCAATACAATAATTTAATCTATCTATATTAGATATTATTGTAAAGTAACATTTGAAAGAAAATCCTTAAACTTATATATAAAATTTTATTTATTTAAGAGAGACAAAATAAAAAAAATTAAATATAATTATTATATTTTTAATAAGGGCAATGGTAGAGGGTCACAATTTTTATGACTCAAATGGCTCAAAACTGTCAAAACAACGTCGTTTTGAGTACAAAACATGTCAAAACGATGTCATTTTGACAATTTTAAGTCATTTAAATTACATAAATTGTGACTCTCAAATATTATTCTTTTAATAAATAATATATTATTTTATTTCGTATATAATACACGAGCGATAAGCTAATTTAATAAGGAAGAAAAGAAGAGATGAGGGGGAAGGAGAGAGAAGAAGAAAAAAGAAATTGAGAAAAGGGCGAGCAAGGGTGAGGAGGGAATAGAGAGGACTTAATCCCATCATTATAAATACTCTTTCTCATTGACCGATACGTACACCAATCATGACATAATCAAATACTACCAAATACCAAACAACTTCACATCACTACCATTATCTCTCTTCTCTATCATCTTCACTTGCCTCTTCACTATCATCTTCACTTGCCAATTTTTCAAATTTGGTAGTGAAACGTAAACTACTTTTTTTTATCACTATTTTTTTAATAGAACTTAATTTAAATTTTAAATTTAAATTTATCAAAAATAAATAAACAATTTTTCACACAATCATTTTTTAATAGAATCAATTTTTTTAATGACGTTACACTAATAAATATAAAGATTTTTAATGATGTTAGGTCTTTGAACAACTAAAAAACATGTTCGTATCCAATTTAAATCTATATGAAAAAAATTATCAACTTAATATAAAAGTAATACGTTTTTGATAAAAATATATGAAAATAAATTTAATTTATGAGGTGGGATTGAGTGGGAATCCTTGAAAAAGGAAAGCAGACTCACGTGGGTTGCCCCCCACTCCCTTTGCCTACTTTTTCTTTAAAAATGCTTGTGAGGCCAAGTTTGGCATGATTGAAAAAAGATAAAAAGTCAAAAAGTCACTATTCTATTTAAGTCACATCATCTTATTTAAGTCACATCACCTCTGTAACACTTTACTTCAAACCCAACTCAAACCCAACCCATATTTCATAAAAAGTCAAAAAGTGCACTTATTTAATCTTCCCAAACTAGGCCTTAAAGTTGGGACCGTGACCCCTCAAATGATGTTGATGAATCATGTATTTTTATTTTTTTGTTTTTTTTTTTTTGTCTTTCCTAAACCAATTACATGTGAATTGGGGTTGCGTGGGTTTTTTTTGAAAAATGTTTGAGAGCCACAAAAAGTGTGGCTCAAATGGTTTAAAATTGTCAAAACGACGTCGTTTTGCGTCGTTTTGCGCCCAAAACGACGTCGTTTTACGCCCAAAACGACGTCGTTTTAACAATTTTGAACCATTTGAGCCACACTTTTTGTGGCCCTCTACCATTGCTCGTTTTTTTTTTTTTGAGGAGTCTGAAGCATTATTGCCTTTTCTTTTCATTATTGCCTTTTCTTTTCATCTTCTACTTCTTTTTGCTTTTGTTCTTTTTTGAGCAAAGAGGACTCTCTCTTTCTTCTTTACATCTCTCTCATCCTCTTTAAACTCCATTGTTGCTCAAGTTTGAGCTTCTAATCGGAGTCATAACCCATTTAATAAAAATTCATTAACCCAGAACATTCATTAAAACACATTACAATTCACAAATTCAAACCCAAATATTAGAAATACAAATCCAAATACGTACCTAATCAACATAAATAAAAAATCAAATTTTTTTTTTTCAATTTACTCCTAAAGCTAACTTCTATTAAAAATTAGACAAAAAATAGCACATTCACAGTCACATGACATGATAATATTTTATTATATATAACTCACGCCACTAACACAAATTCAAACTTTAATATAATAATATATTTTGTATGTTATGTGACAATTATTATGGTATTTCATGTCTAATTTTAAGCCAAAGTTAATTTTAAGAGTAAATTAAAAAAAAACTTAAAACATAAAGATTTTAAAAGTGAAAAAAAAAATTCAAGGACAAAAATAAAAATAAAAATGAACAAATATAAAAGAGACAAAATATAAGTTACCCTTTTTTGTTTCGATTGACATATTGAAAAACATTGTCGGAAGTCAATTAATCCGAGTGAAGTGTACAAGGGCGATCCCTTCTCAAAAATTGAAAACATTTTATATTGTACTAGTAATGATTAAAATAACAGTGGTGTTACATACCATTAAAAAGGGATCATTAAGCCAGCTCTAATGAGCTGGCAGTGCTGAAAATTAAAAAAAAAAAAAAACAAAGAGTAAAATATCACATCAATTGGGGCTACAGTATTTTTAGAGCTATTAGAGCTCATTATTTTAGAGCTCTTAAACAATTTTCTTAAAATAATTCCAAAAAAATGGGTGCGCCTTGCATTGGTTGAGATATATTTAACTTCTCTTTTATTTAGATAGAAGATATCTATTAAATTTGGAAAAAAAAAAAAAAAAATTATCAGCGCCATATTAAAGGCTCAACAAAATAGTTAATTTGGTACATAAAATTCTCCATTTCTTTCAACTTTTCTCTCCCTAATTAGGCGTGAATAATTCTTCTTACTTTTTGTATGTTTCATATGTTTTGCGCATAATTTTCACTTTTGCTTAGGTGTAATGACTTTTCTTCATTATTTGTGTTTATCTAGTATTAATACTACTTTGTATTAACTGTATTTTTAACTATGAAATTTGTCAGGATTAAATTGGTCGGTAAGATAGAATATAATTTTATAAGGATTTGGATTTCTCTCAAGTTTACTTGGGAGAATTTGAGGAACTTATGGGACTCACTCAAATCTTATTTTGATAATTCGAATGGTTCATTTTATAATACCCTTAAATTTATATCATTCTTGAAAAAACTTAAATCGATCCGATAATTTATTCTCCAAAAAATTAAAAGATGAATTACAACTCAGTGTATTATTTCAAAAAAAAAAAAATCAAGTGATTAATTTTTTCACTAATCAATAAATATTTAACAAAAAACCATCGATATGTAATTTTTTTCAAAATTAAAAGGTCTATTTTTAAAAACATATACATTATTTATTTATTTTTAAAAAATAAATGTAATAAAATAAATAAGTTATGATTATTGAATGAGACTAATTTTTTTTTATGAATAACATAATAATATTTTTTTCATAGATGATACACTGATAATCTTATACTGTAAAATAAATAATTTAAATAATAAAAAAAAGAATCATGTGGACTTCACGAATCACTATGTTCTTTCAAGTTGGTGGTGTTTGGGAAGAATTGTAGTTGGGTTTTTTCTCAGTTTTTTTACTAAAAGACAAAAAATTTACAAAATTAAAAAAAATACATCCAAACAAAATATCACATTCAATCCTATAATTATTTTACTTTTTCTCTCACAAACATCAGATCCAATCACAAAAAAAATCACCTATCTTTCCAAACACAAAAAAAAAATTCTTCAACAATATCCTATATCTAAAAAAATTTACATAAAAACTCATTTCCTAAACACCATCTATAACTGAATTTGATGGAAGACTAACCCATTTTTTTGTAACTAGCTATGTTGAGAGAGAGAGAGAGTACCTGTGGATGGTGTGAATGTGGAGTGAGTCTGTGTAAGGAGGTTGGAGCAGCGGTAGGTTGCGCTGAGCGAGGTGAATTGACGGAAGGGAAGACCAGAGAGAGGAGATTTCTAATCTTCATATAAGGTACTCATTTTCTACTCTATAGCCTAATCTTCATATAATAGGTCCTCATTTCTACTTTATAGCCTACTTTTTAATCATCATATAATGGGTTTGAAACTTCTGCATAAGTCATTTTTAAAACTTTAAAAATTATATTAAAACTTTAAAAATTCAGTGATGCTACAGAGCCCGAATGGGCAGCGGCTCGAATGGCTCAAAAAAAAAATTTTAATTTTTTTTTTTATTTTGAGGGTTGTTTTTGGTATTATTTTTTTATTTATTTTGTGTAAACGAATCTAAAAAATTAAAATTAAAATAAGTAAAAAAATTTACTATTTTTTATAAGAGTGAACATGGTCCGAATTAATCAGGATTGAGGAAAAATCAAGATCAATTCGTTATTTACAGTTTTTAAAAAATTGAAACTAATCCAATTCGTTTAAATTGTGAAACTAATCGGAACCAATCCGTTTAAACACGGATTTGATTGGTTTACAACTACGAATTCACATAATTAAATAACAAAAGCACAACAGCAGCAACATGGAATAAGGGTTTAACTTTTATGGAATAAAAAATGATATTATGTGGAAGGCTCTATAATATAAATATAGACTATTTGTATACGGTCCGAATTGGTTCTAATCCGGAACCATGGGATTCAATTCAGAACCGATCCATGACCATTTTAAATTTCTAATCTAGAACCGAATTACGAATTCAAAAAACCAATCCAAACCTACAAGATTGGATTAGATCGAATCGGATTATGGATTATACATATTTCTTACTCAATCTTAATTTTTGATTTTTTCTTTTTATCTTTTCTAAATTTTTTTTGAGATTTTTGAAATTTTTTTCTAAATTTTCCATTCGTCTCATCTTGTTAAATGTAGAAGTTTAAATTTTTTTGAAAAATTTAAAAGGAAGAACTTACGAGACCCCGGTGTTCGATTTACCTTTTAAATTAGGATAAATTATACTTACATTCCGGATGTTTAGATTTAACACATATCATTCTTTAATGTTTAGAAAATTACACTAATTTTTTATCATTGTAATTATTTAGACGGAATGAAAATATTAAACTCATGCACTCTACATTTTCTTACTTTGCTTTACTTTCTCTATTTTTTTTTCTCTTTGCTTTACTTTTTTTTTAATTTAATTTTCTCTATTTTTCTATTAAGAGTTGTTACCTTTATATAAATAGAGAGGTTTGTGAAATGAGACTATTAACTTCAGGAGTGATATTGTAATTTTCAAATTGTCAGAGAGTGGATTGTAATTGAATCAAATCTCATGGGTGTCAGTGTAATTTACCATTTAAATTAATTTTTGAATTGAAAAATTCAAAAATATGTTTGGTTTACAATCTTCCAAAATTATTTTTAAAATTGTTTTTTCTCTATCCTCTCTCTTATCTCATTCTCTTCTTTTTCTTTTTTTTTTTTAAACATATCAATCAATCATTTTCTCTCTCTTCTCTCTCAAGTTTCGTTTGGTTTTAGATTTTGGGCTAAAAAAACATAAAAGACAAAATTAATTATATAAATTAATAAGACAAAATGTCACATTTAAATTATAATCATTATATTTTTTCTCTCACAAAAGTCAAAAAATCAAAAAAACTAAACTAAACGAGGCTAAAAAAGTCTCAAAACAAAAAAGCCAACTAAAAAAGTCAATGCCAAACGAAAGCTCATTCTCTCACATTCTCTACATCAATTAATCAATTTTCTCTCACACTCATTTATTTAATTACAAAAAATACAACTCATCTCAAAATTATTTTCAAAATATATAACCAAAAAAAATTTTTAGATTTTGCAAACTATTTTCAAAAGCTATCTTTCCAAATTAATTTTCAAAATTAAATCAAACGAAACCTAACTTATTTAATCCGCACTACACTCCCAATGAATGCTAATCAGCCATCGTTTGGAAAGTTAATTTTTTTAATTGTTTTTTTAATTGTTTGATTATTTTAATCATTAAAAAAAAAATCATACTTAGGATGATTTGTAAAAAAAAAATTGTAATTAAGGTCAAGTTTGGCAAGTTGTCAAAAAGTTATTCAAAAAGTCAAAAAGTTATCACTATTTACCAAAAGTCAAAAATTACGGCTGCACAACTTCCAATCCTAATTTTTCCCTACACAATAATTTATACAATTTTTTAATACACATTTTTCCATAAAAAGTCAAAAAGTTAACCCAAACATCCATATTTTTTTCCTCAATTTTTTAGTCCAAAAATACAAAAATTGCACTTATTTAGGACACTCCAAACAACCCCTAAATAGATAGTTGTGAGAGAAAAAATAATTGATTGATTTGTAAGATATGACATTCTATATTATTGATTATTTTAACTTGGATAAATTACACTGACACCCCTGAGATTTTTATTTAATACAAATCCATCTCATATTTGAAAAATTACATTTCCCTACTTGATATTTGTAATCTCATTACAAATTGCCCCATGGATTACTAATGTTATGGCCTAAAATTTTTAAATGATCATCTTACCTTTTTCCTTATTATTTCTTCTTCCTATCATCATGACTACATGTTATAACTTTTCATCATTAAATTCTACCTGAACATATTTTTATTGAGTGATGATATACAAACATAAATTGATATAGAATTTTTAAAGACAATAATATACCTTAATAATGACCTTTCACTTTAAACCAAAACACTTTGATAAATATGATTTATAGTTACAACAATATCATATATTATAATATTTTTATGATATTTCTTATATATGAATTCATTTTTATTTCTACCATTATATTTAGATTAGATCATTTTAGCTTTCATTTGACTAAGTTGGGCTAAAAAACACAAAGGACAAAATAGGCTAAATAAATCAATAAGACAAAATGTCATATCCAAATCATAATCATTTCAATTTTTCTCTCAAAAAAGTTAAATCAAACAGTCAAACCAAACAAACTTTTTAGTCCCAAGATAAAAAAAAGACAAACCAAACAAATTTTTTAGTCCCAAACTAAAAAAGTCTCAATTCAAAAAAGTCAATGCCAAACAGCGACTTAATCTATATATATATTTAAAAAGTATAAAATTTTTACAAAATACTTTAAAAAATTCATTGAATACAACAAAATAAGATAATGTATTGAATTTTTGTATTTTTACATTTTTTATATTTGGTGAATTTAAAAAAAATCACAAAATATTATATTTCTTAAGTATATCTAAATTATGTGTATCTAAGAAATAAAAAAAAATTACTTAAAATATTAAAAAAATTAGTAGGAATAAAAAAACATGAAAAAAAAAATCAATTGTTTGTGTAAGTTAAACCGAAGGAGATTATTGTTATTTTCCTTGAAATGTCATGAACAAAATATATGTATTATTTTATTATTTTATATGTATAAAGTTTAAGGAATAAGTATGTCATTTTAATTTAATAGGAGAGTTAGGCCAAGTTTGACATACTTAAAATAATTTATCTTTTTATCTTTTTATGATGTTTGTGAGGGAAAAGTAAAATGATTACAGGGTTTGATGTGATATTTTGTTTGGATTTGTTTTTTTTTTATTTTGCAAAAAGTTTGTCTTTTAGTACAAAAAAAAAAAAAAGAACTTCCCAAACACCTCCATAGTGCCTGTTTGGCAGAAATTATTTACAGCTTATTTCAGCTTTCAGCTTAATTTAAGCTATTTTGATGTGTTTGGTTTAGCTTATAGCTTATAGCTTTGTGGAAGTCAGAAATCAGCTTATTCTTTGAGTGGGGCAGGAGATGCTTTAAGAATAAGCTGAAAATCAGCTTAAGCTGAAAGTTATAAGCTATAAGCTGTTTAGGCATAAGCTATAAGCACTTTCCCACAGCTCTACCAAACAGAGCTATAATTTCAAAACACACAAACTCAAAATACAACTCATATTCTCAAATCATAATTAGAAAGTCTTACCAAACGGGGCCTAAAACTCTTATCCAGTTTAAAATAAAAAAATTAAATAAAAATTATATATTTAAAATAAAAAATAAAATTTTCTAAAACTTTTTTTAATATTTTTAAAAAATAAATCTAAAAAATTCAAAATACAACTCAAAATTCTTAACCAAACAAATTTTATATTTTCAAAATTTAAAATTCATAAACTCTTTTCTAAACATTTTTCAAAATTTATAACCAAATAAATTTTTTTCATTTAAAACTCAACTTACAATTTCACACTCAAATCATAACTTTAAAAAGAAAAATAGAGACCTCCACAAAACACAACCCCCACAATGATCTAAACCATTCATGTCACTGTCAGATACAACTCTTAAAAAAAATTTAAACACATCAATGACTAATACATCAGTGAAAGTTATGGGATTCCTTTTTTGTAGGGTCTCAAACATTTTTCAAAAAAAAATCACAGTTTCCATTGGAAAATTATTTATTGGTTTACATGATACCTCATCGATTAAAATAATTTAATTTTAATTTAATTTTTAAAAAATAAATTGATAATAAACTCAGCCTCCGTTTGGGAAGTGGGTTGACTTTTTGACTTTTTTAAGTATTTTAGTTTAGGTTAAAAAGCTTGTTTTGGGAAGGACTTTTTAGCTTTTTGACTTTTTTAAATTTTTTTGTGAAAGAATAGTGTAATGATTATCGATTGGATATGATATTTTATTTGTTGTGGCTAAAATAACTTATTTTGTCTTTTATGATTAAAATAATCCCAAACCTTCTTGCCAAACGGAGCCTTACACTCATTATAGTTTTTAATTTTTGTTAAAGGTGAGGGTGACTCCGATTGGATAATTTTTCCGCGTTTTGCTCCATGGTGCGCTGCAGCTGGCACCTACTTGTCTCATCGATCAGATTTGGGATCTCTCCAAAAGTCGTAAAGAGGAGAGGAAATATCAATGGGATAATGAAAACCGCGTTAAAAAAAAAAAAAAACAAAAATAGTAAAAAAAATATTATACTAAGGCCAAGTTTGGCAATCCAAAATAAGTATACATTTTTTATTTTTTTACTTTTTTTCCATCATATCATTTCTCTACTTTTCTGCACATCTTTTCATAAAAAGACAAAAAGTGCACTTATT